ACATGCGGCAGCCCCGCCCTGCACGTTTCGCGCTGCACCGGCGTCAGGGCCGAGGGTAGCATCAGCGGCATATTCTCGACCTTCACGTCTTCCGGGATGGAGGCGTCGCCGATCGCCTGGAGCGCCGCAGGCGTGTACGTGGCCTGCAGCTTCCGGAAACGTAGCAGGCGCCGACCTAGCCTCGACCGCATGCCTGCGAGGTCAATCTGCATCCCCGCAGTGTTTGCCTTTTTAAGCTCTGCCTGTAGACGAATACGCCGCCTGGAAAACCGTCAGCACGCCCCGCGAAGCTCCCGTTGTGGGGAACAAACATACTGCTCCTCCTCTAGATCCAATCCGAGCGTCATGAATTTACTCGGCGTTACGTCGTGCAGGGACGCAGCGCCGCGGGCCGCCTCGAGCTCTTCCTCCTTTGTGAACTGCAGGCGAACCTCGGCCTCATTCAAACCTAACCACCATAGTCTAGTCAGCGCGCCCTCCCCTCCGTTCCGGAAGAACTCACCTGTGACCTTGACCTCGTATGGGTTTTTAGCCGCTGGGTTTGCCTCGAAATCGTGGACCACCTGCTTCCACGCGGGTACGCGGTCCCTTTGCTCCTCGGTGAAGGTGTCGAAGCTCTCCTTCTGGCGCGCTTGCTCCTTCTTTCCATTGTCCATTCGCCTCCGCAACGTCGCCACTGCGCGCTCCAACTGTCAGCCGCCATTCGTGAAAGCAGCTGGGTAAATACGCACCGATTGTGACGAGCTTCTGCCAATTCCAGTTTGACCACTGATAGTCCAAAACGCCGTGCCGCGCCGACGGCCCCATTTCCTGCGTACTCCTCGCGACGGCACCAATCATAGACCACGGGCGCTCGATCCCTTCACCGTCTACCTGCGCGCTGCCAAGGATGAGGTTGAGGGAGTAGAGGATGTGGCACGCCAATTTGTGCGCGCGCAGATGCATCTTGGGGATGGCGTACTTCATGATTCCTTCCATAAGGATAATCCGCACCAGTGGGGGAAGCTGCTTCAGCCGCTCCTTGAACCACTTGCTCCAAACGCACACGATGTCGTACGATATGAGCTTCCAAAGGGCCGGGTGCTTGTGCCGCAGGATCGATGAAGCCACGTAGTCGACATTGGAAAACCTAACGCATCGAATGAGGGCACCGTTAACGCGCCAAGGACCAAGCTCACCTTTCCCCGCGCTGCAGATCGCCCACACCGTTGGGCTGCACGAATTCGTGGCGCGCGCACACGCCCATCACCACGCCAGTCGTGCTGTATCCGCGAGAAAATTTCGTGTTCACGTGGTCCAGAGCCGCGAGCCCGCTGCACGTATTCATCTATAGTTTCGTCAGCCGCCACCCGACACCCAGCTGCAACTTCGACGTACCTCCTTCTGATCGGTAACGCCGCGCAGGTAGGCCCGGTACTCCTCGTCCTCCACCATATACGCCCACCCCGTCCCGAGCGCCGGATCCTTCAATTTGCTTGAGACAAGCCGGCGTTTGAGGCGGAAACAGGCGTCCAACGCCAGGTACAACGTGAATTTGTGCCTGGCCGCGCGTCAATACCCTCGCTAACGGTCGCTAACGGATGACATACAGTTGGATGGCTCACAATGCATTAGGTCAAAATGCATAATGCTCATATTGCATAGGATTTGGGCATCCACCAACTTGGTAGGCTGGGATTTTATGCAATTTCCTCGCAATGCATAATACATAAGGTTTTGGGTCCCATTTATGCATTTTTTGAGCAAAATCATACGATGTTCCGAGCCAAATTGAGAGCTCTTAGGGCTCAAAATGCATGTCTTCACTGAAAGACCTCAAAATCCACCCATTTAGGCAAGGTTTAGCCCATTTGGTCATACTGTCACCATTTTGAGATGATTATGTCATGGCAGGTATTGTATCTACGTAAGCTGGAAAAAACACCGAGGCTGCAAAACTTGAATATTATGCAGCTAGCTGCACTCACATACAATCATACGTGATTCAAGTCAATTTGACACTCAAAATCTCCACACCCAAGTTGAAATATCGAAAATGTCACACATGTCACACTCCTGTGACAGACCCAGTAATGCATATTGCTCATAATGCATAGGGTTTGGGTGTCCACCAGCCTTATGCATTGTGAGCCATCCAACTGTACCTTTCTTCCGGGGGCGTACTTTCCCAATCGTCGGGAAGGTTGATCCCGGGGCGTGGACACGCCGGACATTCGACCGCCAGCTCCCCGGACTTGGTCCCCGCCGCGCCACTGCTGTCGTAGGCCCGCGCCCGCCCGCCGCGCTTCAGCATCATCAGGTGGCGATATTCACGGCACATGCGGATCCATTCATGGTAGCGGTCGGGTGGCTTGTCGCCCGTGTTGTTGGTCAACTTTTCGAGGATGCCGTAGAAGTCGTACATGGTCGTCTTTGCTTGGAGGGTTTCGTGGTGGAATTGATCCAAGACTGCGAGCGTCGCGCACGTCTGCGGCCGCTCGTGAGTCGCAGGGAACCAGCCTGCACGAAGCAGCTGGATTTCGTGTGTCCCAGCCGCCTCCGCATTGTCGCAGCCGCAAAAATCGACGCCGACCTCGTGGATCCCGTTGCTGTGCAACGCCACGAAGCCGGCGTTGGCGCGCTCGGGGGACCAGCACTTGGATCCAATAGGGTGGCCCAACTGCACGCGAAGCCCCAGTCGCACCAAAGGCGTTTTCACGAAAAAACCGCCAACGTATTTCTGCCCAGCTCGAATGAATTAGATACTCAGAAACAAATCCAAAAAAATGCTCACATAAACGCGATGGAGTGGATTCTCCTCGTGTCTCGCCACGATGCAGACGGCGCAGTACATTGCGCCCCCATGGCAATCGCTACAGCGATAGAGAGCAGGCCCGTTGTAGCCGTGGCACCCAGGACAATGTTCCACGTTGGCCGTTCCAGGGCCATCCAGTCGAATGAACTCGCAGAGAAAGCTGTCGACCTTTGGGCGCCATGTGTACAAGGACTTGTCCTGACAGCAATCTTCAGTCAAGGAAACCGCGTAAGTCAAACGCGTTCATACGCACCGAAGGTTTGAATGATTTGCCGGAGGCCGACACAAACACACGTTTCCCAAGCCGGCGCGGGACATCGTCCTCACCGTCCTCCTCGTCGCCCCAGTTCGGAACGTAACGGTCGAAGTCCAGGCTGATGGAATCCACCCCAGAGGCGAACCCGTGCTCTCCCCGGTCTCCCACTGAAGCGGCCTCGACTCGCGCTCTTTTCACAGGCGAAGGCGGTGCGAAAGGGTGCTCTTCACGATACACGCGTCGGTTATCAGATGATATCCGGTCCACGAAGCCCGTGATAGGCGCGTCTTCGGGTAGCGTCGGCGGAGGCAGAAAGATACGGTGCGCGTGGGCGTCCGCGGTGAGATTTTTTTCGTTTTTGTGGGCGCGCTTGCGGGAGTGGCGACTCATCGTATCTGTGCGCGTAGGAAATATTCGCGTCCAGCTTAAGCTTGCACAATACAATCACGTGCACTGTCCATGGATTTTCCTTCGGAAATTCCCCGTGCAAATGGATTTTCCTGCCACTTCACTCCCTCCCTCCACCTCGACCCATCAACTGCATAAAACCACCCAGCTGGGTCAGGGACTCGTCATGCCGAGTAAGTCCCCCATTTTTTTGCCCTTCCCTTTTCCTCCGCGTTGCGGCGCGAGTACGCGACTCCGACCTTGGAGTCGCAGAAAGCCCCGCTTCGCGACGCGAGTATGCGACTCCGACCCTGGAGATGCAGAAAACGTCGGCTTTTTCTTTCTTTCTTTTCCCTAGCTCCGCCTCCTGTGTCGCCGTTCTAGTACGCGACTCCGACCCTGGAGATGCAGAAAGACGGTGCAGCGTGGCGGAGTCCCTAAAATTCCCCCAAAAATAATCACTGACTTGGCTCCTCTAGCGCGCCCCATCCGCTCCGAGGCTGAGGTCAATCCATGGAAGTTTGAAGGACGCGGAACCCTATGTAGTTGACGGCGTCAGCTTGACCAACTTCCTCGTACGCCGCGCCGAACGATTTCGCCCCTGGGTCTGAAGACGAGGACTACGCTGAGCCAGACCGCCCCCTTACCTTCGAGCGCTGGATTGCCCCGCCGCCCCGCCCCCCCCTCCCGGCCCCGCCTCCGAAATTGCCGTAGATACCCCGTAGGTACATGTCGCATGTCGTTCCCCGCTGGCATTTCCAATCGTACGATTTTGCGCGCGCGACAAAGTGTTCCTCGGGTCATTATAAGGGTCCGAATTCAAGGAGCAGTCCATTTATTTCAAACAAAACCAAAAAAAAACAGAGAAGAGCGTGGTAGATATCTAAGCAAGTAATACGCGGGGTGACTAGGTTTGAATGCAGGGAAGCGACTAGAGTTTGGACTGGAGAGGAAGCGTAAGCGAAAAGCGAAGAGGGAACGAACAAACATGGCGTACCAAGTTGCGCGGCTTGAAGCCACGGATCGTGTTAGTTTTCATGGAGTCGTATTCACTAGAAAAAAAGGGACATTGAGGATGCATAACAGGAAAAGAAGAGGTGAGGACCACACTCACTCCTGCGACATAAGATCTGGTATCTCATCGTCCTCGTCCTCGTCGATGTGGACGTCGATGTGGAGGGGACACTGGAACACCCAATCGAAGGCCGGTGCGAGTTCGCCATGCTCGCGGCAAGCAGCGTAACGGGGCGTTTCAACGCGCGTTTCAATGCCTTCTCCGTCGGTGAGGCCGATACCGTTGCGGCCGATGCACTGGCACGCGGGATAATGCGGAAAAAGGTGAAGTTTTGGGACAGCGATGTATGGACTGAATCCAATGTCAGCAAGATACAGACAGATGAATGAATGAAACGGGAAGCGTACGCGATTCGAGGGAGGTCAGGGGATAACAGACGAGCCAGGAGTTGGGCGTCGTCAGAGACCATTGTCGAGTCGACGGTCGAGAAGAAGAGCGGGAACTTGTGACGTGACGCATCGGTGAGAAGAAAAAAGAGGGCCAAAAATCAACCGTGCCCAGATTCGAACTAGGACCACCCCAATCGAAAGAATCCAAATTTGTATCAAGTCGGGTTGTACTACCATTACACAACACGGTCCATGCATGTACCAAAACAAAGGATCATCATCTTGCTGGCCTCACAGCTCCTTGTTCGTAAGGCAATGGCAAATCAATATTCAATTCGAGGCGCGTTATTCGTAGGGCCAAGTATGGTACATGCGCGCGGGTCACGGTAGACAGACGTAGGAGAGTAAAGCGATGGTAGCTAATGCAAAAAAAAACGCGACGGACAGCAGGTGCAAGCGAATCATTTCAGGACGCGTCCTCCGCGTCCTCCTCGTCCTCAGATTCCGAAAAGAGTAGCACCCACGCCATCCCGCTGGCCCGCAGGAGTCTCCAAAGTCTCCCGACCGTCGCCAGATCAGGGCACGCGTAAAAAGAAGCGCCGGTGGGCTGTCCGCTGTCTGCTTCGACGATAGCGTCCAGGCTCAGAAAGTCTTCGAGGGCGGTGTCCTTGTTGCGGGTGACGCGGCCGGCGAGGTTGAGGTAGTACACTTGGTGGCTCCTGCCCAAGAAAGTCAGCGTCGTCAAGAGGTAGTGCTCCGCATCCTCCATTGTTAGCGCGCAGAACACTATGTGCTTGTCCTCATCCAAGAGGCGGTCCGCGACTTCCCTTCATCTGGTCGTCAGTACGACTCCCTCGTCTCAAAAACGTCAGACGGTACGTACCCATGAGTTGAGATCATCCCGTGGTCAGAGACCCAAATCATCGGGCCGTCCACCTCCAGTTGCGGAGCGTAATATGCACAGAGCTTGTCGCCGGACATGCTCCGCGACGAGCTCCCTGGCATCAAAACTCTAACGGTACCTTCCTCAGAACTGTGCGTCAGGAGGGCGCTCCTCCCCCGCCGAGAGCTGCCGCGCTGAGTTCGCGCTGGCTCGGACCGCCTCCCGTGCGATGCGTTCCCGACGCGCGACGGTCCGGCGCCTAAGGATAGCGCGCATTGAGTTGGTGCTGGCTGGAACTCCCTCCACTGCAATGTTTTCCCAGCGCGGTGCGATCCGGCAGCATTGTCGATCCTCGCCCTCTTCGGAGGCGGAGGATCGCCGTTGTTGTCGCCGTTGGCGAGGCGGGCGTCGTTCGCCGTGACGCAGGCGGGATGGTTGTTGCGGCAAAATTCGCGGACGAGTGCCTCAACCGCTTCGATGTACTGAACTTGCCTCTTCTCAGCGGCGGCGTTGCGCCGTATATAATCATTCGCGCCGCTGCCTTGCATCAGTACCGTCTTTACCTCAACACGTTGACGCACCTGGCCTGGCTGTAGAGAATCTGCTTGACGCCATTGGTGACCAGCCAGTAATACTTGAGAAGAGTTCGTCCATGGTCGGGATGGGAGATGAACCTATCCCCGGGGACAAATTCCAGGTCACACGCTTTGTAACCGTCTTTGATCGGGATCTTGTACAATTGGGCCCCGCCGACGTGGGCGCGTGGGGAGAAGAGAGTGTCGGCTGGTGCGACGAAGTCGGTGGGCACGGGGGCGGAGGACATGGTGGTGGGTGGTAAAGGAATGCTGCGCATTGGTGGTCTTTTATGAAAATATATTGAATTGAGACTCTCCGATCAAGTTCTTCTTCTATTTTCTTTTCTGTATTCGTCCATAACACCCCAAATAACCCACCACAATGCCTCAACGCCTCAAGGCGTAACGAAACCGGTGGCAATATCTCGTCCATGGCAAATCGCGCGGACTCGCCAAAGGTCGGTACGATCCCAGTTGCAAACCCGACCACCCGGCTTACAGTTTTAGGTCGATATTTTGCTACCTTAATTATTCCCTCGTTTTTTTTTTTTTTTCGGGAGTACTACCTTTCTTTTGACGTTACTGGACCGCGAAACGCACATGAACGCGTCCACCTGCGCCGACCCGACGCCTTGACGAGCGCGACTAACTGCGTACCACGAACGACCCATATTAGGAAACGGCACTGCCACCGCGGCGTACCATGGCCTCCTCGAACTTCACCTTCGTCTGCGCCCCTCCGCCGTCCACGAAGCTGCTGCTGCCCGCCACCACCTCATCTCCACTCTTTACTTCGTTCTCCATCAGCCCGACCAAACCCGACGCTGGGTGCGCCCGGAATCAGGCGCGTTATCGCGAGAAACACAAAGAGCGCGAGCAAGAGAAGGCCCGTCTCAGGATGCAGCGCCTGCGCAGCGGAGACAAGAAGGCACACGACATGATTCGGGCCATGTCTTCCGAGGAAGTACGAGCAAGGTGCGTTGTTGTTGGGCTTCCCGGCGGTGGCGCTCGCTCATCTAACTCAGCGCTCTGTTTGCCCGCTACCGGATCTACCTCCAGCGACACGCCCTCAAAGTTTTTTGCGACACCTCTGATATGCAGGCCTGGGAAGCGTCTTGGGACCGCTTTTCCAGCAGGGACGGGCCGCCCTTCGATCGCCAGGATGCCGCATTTCTGCTTCGACACTCCCACCCCAACTTTCATGCGCCCGCCCCCACCGATGCCGAGATCGACAGTGCGCCTCGAACGGCTCAACACCTGCGACCCGATCGTTGAGTACACGCCGGAAGAGGAGGGCGAATGGCGCGCCATTCTAAAGAGGTCGCCGCCGGGATCCAACGACGACGACCTGGAGTGGATTTTCCGCCATGCGGTCCCAGCGCCGAGGTTCGAGGACATGGATGCGTGCTCCTGCCGGTGATTTTGTGGTACCCTTTCAATTTAATGCATTGATTTTTTGAAACTGTGTGCGTCAATAAACCTGAACTGATATTTTGCACCCCCTCCAGTCTACTCTACATTTCAAGAAAAACTACGGAAGGATGCACTCCTACTCGATGGCGTCGTACACAGCGGCGCGGCCCGGGACACATTCGGTCGGGACCAGGGTCTGGATAGCGCGCGCGATGAGAAAGTGAGCAAATTTAAGTAATAACGCATACCTTCTTCGGGGCGGGGCGATGTGCCGGACATGCACAGGGTTTTGTCGCCTTGGCCTTGGTCGGGGCGTTTTGGTGAGGGGGTTCGCGGTCGCGGGCCAAGCGAGCAAGCAGCGCGGCGTCGGGGTCGGGGCGCGCGCGAAGGCGCAAGTCTGCGCGCTGCGCGATTGCCTGGGCGTTCTTGGAGATGCTAGGGAGCCCGTGGACGGGTGTGTGCGGGGGGCCTGCGCCGAGATAGAGGGGCGCCGCGCGCGCGCTGGGGTGGGGGATGGAGACGTATGGCATCGTGCGCCCGGGAACGAAAGTGTAGACGGGGTGGATGTCTTGCAGGTCAATGGGGGTGTTGTATGAGGCCCGATTCGCCCGAGCCTTGCGCTCCGCCTTCGCTCGATGGAAGTCGACCCAGTACGAGCGGGAACGCAGTATGGGGGCGTTGTTTCTCGGCGTGGACATGGTGGTGGTCTAGTCCGAGGAGAGAGGGAGAGGAAGCAACGACTCGCGGATCATTCCTTTTTTTGTCATTCCTTTTTTTGTCTTAATTCATCTTCACCTCGCCGCTAACCTAACTAATAATGAACTTTACCTTCCTCTGTGCAGTGCCCCCTGCCAGCGACCGAATGGATCCACCGCAGCGTCCCCCGCTCCTGACCACGTTTACCGCCGTCTCCGCTGAGGCCCCTGCACCAGTCAAGTCCCGAGCTGACAGCCAGGCTCGCTATCGCGCCCGCAACAACGACACAGAACGCACGAAGGCGCGCGCGAGGATGGCGCGCCTTTGCAGTGCGAGGCGGGAGGAAGGTGCGATGCAGGAAGCGCCTCAAGAAGCTTTGAGACGGAAGCAGTCCTCTGACCGGCTCCGCGCGACGTAAGTTTCCTGCTCGCCCTTCCCTTGCTGCCGAACGCTGATAAATTACCCCACAGGCCGCTGTTCGCTGCTTTCCGCACCCACGCGCACACCCACCTAGCTCCCCTTCTGGCCAGTCCCGGCGCCGAGTTCGCTGATGTGTGGGATGGCACTGACTGCGTCATCGCGGACGATGAAGTGGCGGCGTGTCTTGGGCCACTGCGCCTAGACTTCAAAATCACAGACGTGGGCGCGGTGGCCTGTTTCGACAAATTATTGGCATCTCACGGAAATTTCGATGAGGAGGACTTAGAGTTTATGTTTCGACACGGTGTCCCGCCACCGTCGCCTTTACTATATACATCTTAAGATACATCTTCTTCAAATCAATTTTTTTTGGGGTGCCATTGTCTCATATATGTGAAAATCAAAATAGATTGCAAAACTACATGAACGACGCGACGTATGTAACGGGCAAGTTGGACCGAACAAAACTGAGTGGGGTTTGAGGCCAGATCGCCCAGAGTGTAAGCGGACGCACCCCAAAAATTATTCACGCAAGCAATCGCGCGCGCATGAGGCGCGCGTGATGAAAGAAGGAGCGAATTTTCTAAGGCTGGTCGTCAGAATGGGAAGGTAGGGGAATGAATGGAAGACTCACAGTTTGGGTGCTAACGACAACACGTCGCCGTTCGGAAGTTTCGTCGCTGGTCAAGACGTCCGTGTCGCGGTCGATACGCATTCCAGGGAAAGGGTTTTGATCGAGGGCGAGGCGCCAGGGAAACTGGTCCCAGTACAGGTCGTAGAGGGTGATGAACCACGCCTTCAGGTGTCCCTGCCCCTGAGCGCTGGCGAGGATGAAGGTGTCGACGTGGGTTTGCAGGAATTTGAGGCGCGCTCCTTGGAAACGGAAGGGCGGGGGCGGAGGAGGCAGTGCGAGGGGTGATTTCGTTTTGCCTTTGCGAGTTGTTTTTCGTTTGGGAGGCATGCGGGGAGGTGATTCGGCAGTCGGCGCGCTGAAATAGAAATACTGGGCGAAGCCCGAGGGGGGGGACGGAGACGGGACAGAGATCGATTCGGAGAAGCGTGTACTTGACGGGACATGAGGCGCCGTCACATTGGATCGGCGGGGCGCGGAGTTGGGTCAATTGGATTTATTGGGGTGGACTAGGCTTAAGGACGGGTAACTATGGCGCCCAGATTCTTTAGAGCTTGGATTTGTTAAGTGAGCGGTGGGTGGAGTGGATGCAGCGCGAAACGTGCGGTACGGGGAGCTCGTCTTCATCTGCAT